ATAATAAAATAATTTAAAAATATAAAAAATATATTAATTTAAAATAATTTTTTTAAAAAAATATTTTTAAAATATAGTTATGCAAAACAGATTTGTATTGTTAAAAGCCAAAACTGTCAAGAAGTCCAAGTTATGGTGATCCAAATATCTTGGGCCATCGTCGCTATTTGCATCATTACAGGTCACATTGTGGGCTCTTGTCCCTATTTCGATCTGCGCCAGCACGACCCATACAGTTGCTTGAACGTATGCCCGTGCTCTAGTCTCTCTCTTTCAAGATTTTTCTTCCTGAAAATAAAAAGAAATAAGCCCAACCTTTTCTCCACTTTCTTTTTAAAATCGAAATATATACAAGTGCTCCGCCGATTTTGAATTTCTTTTACTGTAAAATTAGGGCAATCTTCAGAACAATCACCGCTAGTGGAATCAAATCACTTGGTTAGTATCAAAGTGAAGAAGTTTTTCTTTGCGATTTCAAGACTTTCCTATTTTCATTTTTTTTCTTTTACATTTTAATGACATCTCTTTTTGTTTGGGCAATTAATATTTGTGTGTTTGTAATTGCAACCTGCTTTACTATTTATCTTGTTTTGATTCTCCGGATTAAAATAAATTAATTAATTCGTGTTTCGTTACAGAATATTGGACGAAGGCCGACGCGATTACATCACAAAAATGGTATTGGCAGCTTTCTCCTTTTTTCTATTCTTTTTATTAAACTTATGATTTATTAATTCCTGAATTAGAAAGAAGAAGAAGAAGAAGAAGATTACTGTAGTAGTTAGTATTTGTCTTCTAACTGCCTTCTTTTTTAGGCAACACTAGCTGATTCTTTCCTTGCTGACCTTGACGAGTTATCCGACAACGATGCTGATATTGTCGTAAGTCTCTCTCTCTCTCTCTGTGTGTGCGTGCGCGCGTGTTATATTTTTATTTCTGTTAGTTAGAGAATTAAGTTTGTATATTAGTTGTTTGGTTAACCTTGTTGGATAATTTTGTAGGATGAAGATGATGATGTGGAGGCAGGAAACATGGAAGAGGATGTCGATGGAGACTTGGCAGACATTGAAGCTCTTAACTATGATGATTTGGACAGTGTGTCAAAATTGCAGAAAACACAACGATTTAATGATATAATGCAGGTTATCTTTTTTTATCCATTTATATTCACTGCTCTCTCTCTGTACTTGTTGGTTTGGCTAAATGGTATAAACTTGTCGTCTGCTCACTCTATGAATGGTTCTGTTGCCTTTTCATGTTCCTACCTTTCCCTTTTATTTGTTGTTGAAGGCTTCTTTATAAGAAATAAAATTCATGTTGGTGCTCTTTTCTTAAAAAATGTTTTTTGATCAACCACTAATTCTTCTAAGGCTACCTCTCTCTCTTTTTTGTTCATTTGATTTAATTTGATGCCGTCCTCAGTAAACCTGATGTTGTGTTTATCCTGTTGTTTAAATGGTAGAAAGTGGAAGATGCACTTCAGAAGGGTTCGGATGTCCAAGATCATGGAATGGTATTGGAAGATGATCCTGAGTATCAGCTAATAGTGAACTGCAATGCATTGTCAGTTGACATTGAGAATGAAATTGTTATCATCCACAATTTTATTCGTGACAAGTACCGACTGAAATTTCCGGAGCTTGAATCACTTGTCCATCACCCAATTGATTATGCTCGTGTTGTGAAAAAGATTGGAAATGAGATGGATTTGACCCTTGTTGATATGGAAGGGCTTATACCTGCCGCTATCAGAATGGTGATTTCTGTGACAGCATCCACAACAAGTGGCAAACCGCTTCCTGAAGAAGTCCTTCAAAAGACAATTGACGCTTGTAATCGAGCTCTTGCACTTGATTCAGCAAAGAAGAAGGTCCTTGATTTTGTAGAAACTAGAATAGATGAAAGAAAGGTAGTGTAGATTTTTGTTTTTATATGTTTGTTATTAGGTGATTTTTTTTCTTTGAATCTTGGGTAACCTCATAGTGCATGGTTTTCCAGATATGCGATAACAGACATGAGGAAGCTTGCCAATAGGATGCAATTTGGGGTACCTGAAGAGAGTTCTTTGGGTAAATTCTTCTCTTTAGCTTGTTGAGATTCTGAAATAGTTGTGAATCTATACCTCATAATATGTTCTGATATAATTCTGAGTAGCTAGCTCTTTTGTCACTTCAAGTGCTCAATAAGCAGGAAAATAGACCTTCTGCCATCACTGAAATATATACAAACATAATACCCCCTCCTTTCCACCTACTGGTTTGTTTTGGAAAATTATTACCCACCTACTGGTTTGTTTTGGAAAATTATGTTGCTAAACTTCCTACATATTGTATTCTTTATTTTTTTCAATTCATTGTAAGGATGAAAGTTTCAAGGAAAACTAATTGGCTAGGTTTTTTTTTTTAATTATAATGTCTGTTGTTATAGATCGAGAATATATTTTAAATTCTTTTCTTATGGTTTGCAATTTTTCCTTGTGACTTAGGTGATGGACTGGGGGAAGGTTATGGGATGCTTGGTCAGGCTGGGAATGGCCAGCTGCGTGTATCAATTGGTCAGCGCAAACTCGCAGCGAAAGTTGCTAAGAAGTAACCCCTTTTTGCTTCTTTTGAATCTTTATTCTTTTTCCATCAAAGCTGCAGTTTTATGAGTCTTAAAGTTTCTCTTTAATTTTTCTTAACTTTAGCTTGGAACTCAAATTTGTCAAACTTGTTTGCATTCCATCTCAACCTTTCATGGCCTTATTGTTTTTAGGTTCAAGGAGAAGAATTATGGAAGCAGTGGTGCTACTTCTGGCCTCACCTCAAGTCTGGCATTTACTCCTGTTCAGGTTTGTTGTATTTTTTTGTCTATTTTGATTATGAGTTGCTTCTATCAATGCTAATTTGAATAACAAATTCAAGCTGGTGGTGCTGGCACTGATGAGAAAGATTTACAAAGGAAGGAAAAGTGTATTTAGCCCAGACTCTGCAAATTTATCCCCAAACTTGACATAGTTTGAATAGTTCACTAGACCTTTTGCAATAGTTTCTGGGTTTCAATTCTTGGAATGTTAGTTGACATTAGGAAATTTCTCTTTTAAGAATTTTAAGTTTCTATATGAGATTGAAAAAAATCAAGCATTATATGGCCTTCACTTGATCCAAAAGAACAGAAATCAAGTTATGAAGCATTTTAGAACTAGAAATCTGTTGTTTCATGTTGATCCTGTGTAATACTTGTGGCCAGATTTGCATTTGAAATCCATTGCTGTTTGATAGAGCAGTTAGGTGATGAAACTTGGATTGTGGAACATTGCTTCATAGATTGGATGTTGCATGGCTTTCTGCTTTCTCTTGTCCTCTTGCCATGTATAAAACGTCATTTTTTTCTTCTGGATATTAGGTTCTAGTGGTGACAGGGAATTGGTTCAAGGTTGAATCTACCTACATCAGAGAATTAAAGATTCCAGAGTAGTCAAAAAAGCTGTTTAGATTTCTCATCCTCATAGACCGTAATAGAACAGTAAAATTAGTTTCATCTTGCATCTTAAGTTGAGGGTTGCTCATGGCCTATTTCAATTAAGATTTGCCAGGAAAATTTTCCACCATGCCTTTTGAACTTCTTACTACTATATATTTTTTAAGTTATGCTTTACCATATGTCAATCAAATCCAGAACAGGCCTTACAAAACAAAACTAAGCTCATAAAATAGTAGATAAGTGCTTACTACAATTATCATCTTGTTTTAACAGGGGATTGAGCTCACAAATCCACAAGCTCATGCGCACCAACTTGGCAGTGGGACACAAAGCACCTATTTTTCTGAGAATGGAACCTTTTCAAAGATCAAGAGGACCTGATTATGCGAATCTCACGTTGGCTGTTTTGTATTAGTCTGTACATTAAATCATGTGCAAGGGAGATGTTTAGATGAACTTGTAACTAACCTTGTGGATTATAGTTCTTTCACCACCAGTTTTGTTTATCAACATGAGTGGTATCTTGAATCTCAAAATCACTTGGCTAGATATGACAATCTTAATGTCAAGATTATGCGAGCTCGTCCTTCTTATTCATTCTCAATATAACAGAGTAATGATAACAACCTTGATATCATATGCTCGCCAAGTTATACCTCCTGGCTTGGGAACTTTACATAAATTGTGCTTTGATTTTTCATTTCTTGTTCTTATTATGCTTTGATTTTTCAATATTGCATGTTGATCTTGCTGATCAGGTTCGAAGCATGTGTTAACTGCCTCTGATTGATTGATGCTACGTGGATTAAAAGAGAACTGATGGTGATAATTTGACTTGTATCGGTATAGCTTTGACGAGCTAAGGGTTAAATTTTGAGAATTGTAGTTCTCGCTGTTTATGTGGATGCAAAGCGTCGATTGTTTAGGTTTGTGCTTGGCTTTTAAGAAATTATTATTCGACTCATCTCCACCTCTGGGTATTGTACGTTGTCTGTCTATACTTCTGCCTGCTGCAATACACAGCGCTCATGAATCTCCACGCTTCACTCTTGCAACGAGACATGCCCTCTTTGAGAAGCAATACAAGTCTGGGAATACCATGTCATATCACCTGCAATGAGAGAGCAAGAAGGGAATGGTGGCAAACTCACCCAATGAGGAAGAGATTGGGACAGTAGCTCCGGAAAATGTCATGAACGAGCTTTTATATGTCATCCGGAAAATGTCATGAACGAGCTTTTATAACTCCTGAACTCGTAGTATCATCAATTCGAAGATTTCTATTTCCTTTTCTTTTTCATATCCCTCCTGGTTTATGCATGCAGGAGTGTAGATCTTTAAAGAGTCATGGGGCAATGTCATTAACTTGAATACCATCCTGTACGAAGTATTAAGTAAGCTTTTCTGAGAATAATTTATCCAGAAAAGGGATGTGTTGTAGATCTTTAAAGAGTCATGGGCAATGTCATTAACTTGAATACCTTCCTGTACGAAGTATTAAGTAAGCTTTTCCGAGAATAATTTATCCAGAAAAGGGATGTGTAACAGCAAGGAACGAATCAGGAGAATTCAATTGTCATATACATACAAGACTCTAAAGCGCACCAAAAGCATAGTTGAATTGGGAAAAAAAAAAATGTAGATCATATCATCTGCTTTTCGGGCAACATCTGCATGAACAGCCACTACCACTGTCTGTAAGAATTATCCTTGTTGTCACTGAATTCAACAGAATAGTAAAGATAACCAGAATACAAAACAATAAAAAAGACTGAAAAGAAAAACATTTGAAGAACCATTATCACATTGGTAATACTGATGGCGTCTTTCCCATTACTTGGGCAGGGGAAGTCCGTCACGAACATGAAATGGTTTGGATGACAGCAAGAAGGATAGAATGTCTAATTTAGAAGCAACATCATGTACATTCGATGCATGAATGTACACTTGATATTCTTCACCAGTCTTAGTCTGGAGTGTTCTCAACTGTCACCTTTCCTGGAGCAGCATATTAAAGCCCTTGTTCCATTCGCATGCTGGATAAAAGACAAATGAAGTGAGACGCGAACTATTTAAAAACAGACTGGGTTAAGATGTTTGCACAAGCACAAGTGCAATCCCATGATACTACTATGTTTGTGTCCTACAAAAGTGATGACAAGATACAATTTGCTGGTGCCTATTTGTTAGCACATCTTCCCTAACCAAAGCAATGCACACTTAGTTCAGACATGGAATATAGGGGAAAAAGTCACCAGGGGACTCATGACCAATCTGGTTTACTACCTGCTACCCAAAAGAAAGGGAAAACAAAACAGAACAAAAGAATAAGGCACCGAAAAAGGGGCAAAAAGCATACTTCGATGATTGAAGCAGCTCCATGTCACACCAAGGCAAGCAAGCACACAGGCTCGAAAGCAATCCAAGAAAACAATTCAGTCGCTTGATAACAATCCAGCACAAAAACTACACAATGCTAGCTCTATTATGACCCCCACCCCACTGGCGTCTGCGGGCCCTTCTTTTTCTCCCATCCTTTTTCGCCTTGGCCTTTTCTATCAAATCCCTCTCCCCTCGTCGTTTATACATTTTGAAAGTCACATGTCTATCTGCAGCCATCTTCCTCACCTTCTCCGTGATCTCTGCTGCAAACTGTCTGTTATACAATTTCCTTAAACCACGCATGAGCTTGGCAAAAGTTTCTGGTTTTGGCATTAAATCAGCATCCATCATGTCCAAGCAATATGAACATGCTTCCTTGACATGCCCATTTGAGAACAGTGCATGAATCCAAATTGTCCATGAATCCACATTAAGCTCACATCCTTTAGTCACAATGCAACTCCAAAGATCTTTAGCCAATTCAAGCTTCTCACCTCGCAGCAAGGCATTCAATAAATCCTTCAGTATGCCATATTGACGACTAGACAAAAGACCTCTCTCAACCATTTCTTTGAAATACTGACAAGCCTCGACCAGGTATCCATGCCCTAGAAACCCGTTAATCATAATAACAAAAGTATCTAGTCCTGGACTAAGGCCACTTACTTCCATTTCATTCCAAGCACCAACACCATCATTCACCTCCCCCAACTTGCAGGCCAATCTAATCACTACATTATAAATACTAAGATCTGGAATACAACCAATCTTTTGCATCTCCCCCATCAATTCCTTGCACTCTTCCAACTCTTCCTTCTTCTCATGGGCCAACATCAGATGCAAATAAGTCAATTGATTGGGCATATGTCCTTTCTGTATCATGCTTTGCAAAATTTGATATCCCTTATCTATCATCCTCCACTTGCAAAAGCCACTTACCAAAGCAGTATATGTCACAACATCAGCATCACAACCACTTCTCTCCATCTCAACAAATACTCTCATCGCCTCATCCATCTTCTCCTGCCCACAAAGTGCCTGAATCAAAATGGTATAAGAAGTCGCATTAGGGTCGCATCCTTTCCTCCTAATCTCCTTCAATAAATCAAAAGCATCCCCCATTTTCCCAGCCGTTGCATACCCACTTAACAAATTGTTATACACCACAATATCTGGCTCAAAACCCGCTTCCCTCATTTGTACCAACACATGTTTAGCCTCCAATAACTTCCCTTCCTTACACCAACCATGCAACAAACATGTAAAATGCTTCAAACTTGGACTAAATCTCACTCTCATATCCTCAAAAAGTGAAGCAGCTTCCTTAACACTACCGTTCTTACACAACGCATCCAATAAACAACCAAACACATACTCATCAGGTTCACATCCATACTTCGGCATCTCATCTAAAACTTCAATTGCCTTGTTCACCATTCTAGAAGAAGCAAACCTCCTCATAACAACAACAAAAACTTCACTCGTTATTAACACACTATTATCTCTCCTCATTTCCTCCAGCAAAGCCCAAACAGCACCAAATTGTTTCATTTTACTCAAAACCTTAATCATAGCCTTATAATTCTCATAACAATGTCTATAACAAGGCTGCTTCGATGCCCAGACAAAGAATTTATAAGCTAAACTCCCAGCATCGCCGCAGCGATTCAAGACACGTTCAGTGAGACCATTACGCAGTACAACACCAGATTCCTGCAAAGCAAGTTCTAATTTAGGAACTCTAGAGTGAAATTTCCTGAGTAATCTATATACCTTCTCGACATCGCTTGCAAATTCATCGACTTTGTTGTCCTGTTCGTGTGGTTGTGGTTGTTGGGTTTTGAGAGAAATAAGACCAAACCCATTGGTTGTTTTGTTTGATATGTTGTTGCTGGGGTTTTGGTGCAGTTGTTGTCTCTGTATGAGGAGAAGGATGTTGGAGTGAAGCGCGGCACTGTAATTATTCGGCCCTTTAAGGATGGAGAAGAAGATTTTCTTTGAAGAGACCCTCTGCATTATTTTCCTTCTCTTGATTTTAATTATTGTTTCTTTCACCTCCAGGTTTTTCTTTATGTGTCATGCTGATGGAGTAAGAGACATGTCGGTTAAACGTTTTGGGTTACTCAACGAACGACTTGTCTTTTTACTGCGTTTACCTTGAAAAGACGGACAGACTGCTACCCTACAACTATCCTTTGAGAAGAAATGCTACTGAAGATTTTTGTTTGATGCATATAGTTGAAGTTTTCGCTGTTGCTTTTGACAAGTTTCGTTTTTTTATCACCAGGATTTCGTCTTCATTTGTTTTCTTGGAACACTAGGAAGAATTCAAGCAGGCGCTGGGGGTATCCTCAGGAGATCTGAGGAGCTGCAGGTGGGCACTCGTCCCTCACACTGATCCAGCGAACTCCGGAGCACCTTGGTTTACATGCTACTTGCTTGCGAGCTATGTTGGCGAGAAGTTTACTGCAAATTCTACGAATTTTAATTGCTAAGAATTTCCAGTGACCATATTCAATGCTGCTTAATTTTATTTTATTTTATTATTATTGAAAATTATTGTTATCCGGGATAGGGAGTTCAGGCCACCCATGCCCTGCCACCGAAGAAGGTTCTTCCAATCCCTATAAATCTTCATCATTCCATGGTGGTCTTTGCAGGGTCATTTTTAGATGGTAAGCACAAGAATCTTTGGACCAGGGAGCGGCTAGGAATGAAGATCAGAAAAGAACCACCTAGAAGAACGTAGAAAAGAAATCGCATATGGTATGACAGAAAGGATAAACTTCTAGGAGAAATCAATTTTATCAATAAGATCCAAAACCTACCTATTCCTAATTTTCTGAGAGGTTTGACATTACTGTTCCAAGTGTCGTGTGTAACCTGGGTTCATGTTAGGGCCAGCAGTATCTGGGAACCCCAGGATTAGCCCATCAACATCCACAGGGAGTAAAAGCTTTTGCCACAGGCATCCTGTGGAGAAAAGCTCTTGTGGCTGAACAATCATCGAAATATCATTATTTCTACGCAAAACACCAATCACGGTAACAAAGCTGCCTTCTTGTACGTACCTGCCGAAACAGACACAGATTTCCAGCTCGTAAGTTTCTGCAAAGCATGCACAAAAGCAACAGAAGACCTGGGTTAATAGATTACCCTTCTTCCAAACGTAGTAGGCGGGCCTCGGCTGACAGGTTTCTTTCTTGCAACCATTTCCTCAAGTGAGAAGATAGGGTTCTGCATTGCCTTGTAGTCACAAGTTTGCTCTCAACAATCAAGGGAACAACTTTACAACCAGAACCAGCTTTTACCATGGCTCTGATACCAGACTTTCGATCAGTTATGTAGAAGTCTGTGGAGAACCTCTGTCAGGTAGAAATTCCAAACAGAACAACATCAAACTTCCACAAATAAAAATGACCCGCCATGATTTCTAGATCCAAGCGCAGCATTAATATGTAACTGAACTGGTGGAAAGAGCCACAGAGCTTTTTTATTGACATACATGCCAAAAACATGAAATTGATTTCATGATGAATTTAACAATAACATGTCGCCTCAAATCCTGACAAATGGATGGTCTATTTCTTAAACCAAGCATCAACATATATTATATTATACAGTCATGCTTATCCAATTTTAATTGCTGCATGAGCAAGATCCAAAGAAGATGTTAACCCGCTTTTAATACAATAGGAAAATGTCAAATATCAGACCTATATGAAATACTGTAAGTGATTCATCACCTGGATAAATTAATTATCTGATCTTCAGATTTCATGTTTTACAAATTGTAATTCATAGTCAAATGATTAATTGAGGAGGGCACTACGAAAATGTAGTGAAATGTTGACTGACAGAAGAGCAGCAATCCTGTGGTCTGTTCATGACCATCAATTTACACTATCAAAGATATCTTGACTGCAAACAGAATTAGGTCAAATTAAATAGTTTGTGAAGCATCAGAGACGGGAAAATCTAGGGGGGAGGCCAGAATCTGGGAAGTTTAAAAGATGCAGAAATTAGGGAAAGAAAAAAGAAAAAAGAGTGATAAGGCAGGAGAAATTCAACAAGGTGAAGCTAGCTATCAAAATAATGGCACAGCATTCATAACTGCCGCACACTTTATCATAAAAATTGCAGCACGACAATCAAACAACATGTCCATAGACTGTGAAACTAATTAGAATGCCAGTTTCTTGATTAAAAAAAAAGAGAGTACAAAGAGGGAAGGTTGAGTTAGATACTGAACTGATTACAACAATGAGCAATATTATGCTAAGATTTTGTTCTTCCATTTATAGGGTGTCATTGCTTGGAGCAAGAGTTGCAACCATAAGATTGTAGGCTTGAGCCTTAATAACAGCCACTTTGTGCATAATGCCGAAGTAAAGGATTGTTTCACATTTTCTTTCTCTAAGCTCCGGTTTGGTTTGTCATAGCTTGGTAATCATCTTTTTTGCAAAAATTAATAAATGTACAAAAATAAACTAAGATCAAGACAGACGAGTATATTCAATAAATGTACAAAGCATCTCTAGTTTTCTGTAGAGATAGACTGTAATTACAACTAACTACTTAAAGTGAAGTTATGTGAATCAGAAAGGAAACTGACATCAGCTATCAACCCGGTAGAAAAATATAAATAAAGTAATCGTTCTAATTGTAAGAGTTTGTGAGTAAAGAGATATCCGTACCTCGCAATATTTTAGATTCCACTGTAAGCATGATGTAGTAGCATTCATTGGCTTCACTCCAAAACCCCCATATTCATACAAAAGAGTAGATACGTAGGTACATCTGGCAGCTCTCTCATATGAAGATTCCAGGGAAACGCTTCCACAGGATACCAGCTAAAATCACAAAAGATTTTTTTTAAAAAAAAACAATTGATCCTTTGTCAGCCAGAAAATATTCTGCTAAGTGATATCTCAGATCAGGGTAATAAAGGCAAGATTAGCAGGACGGGCTTATCTTCTTCCATCATGCAATGAGCTTCTTTAACGAATGCCTAAGTTATCATGACTTTCTCAGACAGCTATCTGTGCTATGAAAACCGCGTGCTTAATTTTCTAGACAATATTGAGCCATATTAGTTAAACTAATATTGGCAACACATACACAAATTAGATAAATAAATAATCAGTGAAGTTTCCAATCATTCAATACTTGGCAAGTAATAAGGCGGTATTGTCATCATATTTCTAAGTTTTTACTACGGAATCTGGAATGTTTCATTAAATCAAAAAATTACTGATACTATTTTCTGTCATGTGCCGATCAATCTGCAAAGGCAAGAAAGCTAAAAATCCAATTAAGATGTGATCACCTACATTCAAATATATAGATATAAAACTTGCCCTCAACCTTGGATCCACATTTTCTGTTTCACTAAAAGTACAACATCAAATCAGAAAGAGAATCCATTGGCACCCAATCTCACACAAAAAAAAAAGGAAAAACAAATTAGAAATGAGAAAATCACCCACGCTCCCAAAACAGATAGCATATCCTTTGGTTGCCATTTGACCTATTCACTTCAATTTGATAATCACCAGACCACATTCCCCATGCTTTTCCTTCAATAGCAACTCATCCAAAACCAATTTTTCAAAAACCCCATAAGGTATTTATGTTCATATTGAACAATGCAACGAATTGAAACCCCTCAATTGAAACCATTTAAGTTAAAGACGAAGAAACGGTTACCTAGATAAAAGAAAATAAAAAATAGTACGCCAGCAATCCTATGTTTGTTTGCTCTAAAAATCCTCCCATTTTCAGCCAGCATTTCCCTTTTTTTTGCTTTTTTCCCTAAGCAACAACACCAAATAGCGAAACAAAAAAAAACCCACCAAAAACAGGCTCATGAAAGGAAGAGAATAGAGATCAAAAGTTTGGAAGTACCCCAGTAATTTTAACAAGCTGTCCTTCAGTAGCAGCAGCAAGGTCAGAATCAGGAAAAGAACGAAGACACCAAAAGACAGCAGCTTTACGTCTCCAATTAAGCTTATTCCAAGCTAAAAAGGAAAGAACTAAAGCAAAGAGCAAGATAAAAGAAAGAAAGAAGAAAACATTATGGACCACAATGAGTATAAAAACAGAAACTGAAAGCCCAACAAAGAATACAAGTAGTAAAATGCAGACTGCTAGTCTTGGTATTGGCTTGCAGCTGTGGCTGTTATGTTCTCTCAAAGTTGCATTGGACAGGTCGTTCATCACTCTCTCTCTCTCTCTGTCTGTACGGCAACCCACTTTACTAAACCATTGAGAGGAGGAGAAGAGAGATTTTCAGCTGGTCGAATGGGGAGATACATACATACATACCTTTTGTTGCAAACGACATGTTGCTTGTTGAATCTCGTTTTCCTTAAACGGTCCCGTTTATTTGTTAGTGGGAAGAAAGTGGGACCCTTTTATTGACCAAATCATCCCGCCATAAGCTTAAATCATGCAATGCCAGCCGCCTGATTGGCTCTAATTCGTTTTCAGAGATGTTCTTCGAGTAGAGAGGATCTCTTGCCTATTGAATTGACGATTTTTGGATTCAAAATCCGGAATTGAAGGTGAGATTGTCTGAACTGCATTGCATTGATTTATGGAGATCTCTGCTTGTTGTTAACTATTCTTTGAGGTGACGCGATGCCATAATGGAGATGGCTGGTTGCTGTGCTTAATTTTTTTTTTTTCCTTTTAAAGGGATCTTAATGTCTGATTTGATTGAATTGGCACAAAAATTTGAAGTGAAGCTCTTTGATCTTTGAATTTATTGGCTTTAGGTAGCATTAAAATGATTAGATAGACATTCGCATGATTAAAATCCTGGTCCAAAGTAGAAACTTCGTTTTTCTTTTAGGTTTTTGATATGGTGGGTGGGTCTAGGAGAACGGAATGTTAAGATCAATTGGCGTACCCTCTTAGAATAAGCAAATAGCATTAGTACAAGGTTAGTACGGTCTGCGTATGAAAACATTCTGCTGTCACAATATTCCATCATCATATGAGAGCTTTAAGTCAAGATTACTGCCCACAACTTCTCTACATGATGGATAGCTCAGGGCCAATTTGGTGGCGTGTTTCTGGTGTTTTGGAATGTGCTTTTGGGTTGAAGAAGCATCGGGTTGATGCTTCTATAGGTGCTTTTTGGATGGTTTTTATAATATAGATGTCAAAAACCATTAAATAGCACTCAAAACAGCATCTTTTTCAGCACTTGAAATGCAACACCTTCGTGTTGCATGCTCCATTAAGGCTGCCTTTTTTTGGCATGAACTGCAATTATGCAACATTAAAGGCTTTGCTCCTATAGATGTTATTTAGCCATTCTCTAGAGATGCATCTAATGTTCTTTAGTTTATCTGAGTGGTATATTCAAATGTTAGAAGAGCACTTTGCAAAGCAGGCAGATAATTCTCCTCAAATTGTATGGTTACTTCATGGCTGCTTTTTGTATATCTCCTGAATCACCATGTACCTTTGATGTCAACCCCATAGTTTTCATTACTTGTTTTTACTTGGCGCAATTCACAATATGTGAACTTTAATTTGGGATCCCTCTGATCATATATTCACAATGAAATTTGTCTGCAAACATTGAACCACTATTGGGAAAAAGAAAAACACTGAATTGCATATAAGATAGCACACAAGCAACTCCTTTAAAGATTGGAGAGAACATGTCTCTATATCGGAGTTCTAATGCAGCATTTCTCTCCGTCTCCCCCCCACATACAAGCACCTCTTTTATGCACACTAGCTTTCTACTTACACGGCTTCCTTTTTTTTTCTCCATTTTTTATGGACATCATCTTTCCAGGCCCAGACCAGTAGGGACTCTAACGTGGGACAGATTCCGAGAGGTAAGATTAGAGCGGAAGCTTTTCTAGTGGCACCAATAAGACAATTTGAATCTCTATACTCACAACAAAATCCAAATTTGTCACTTCAATTGATGCATTCCTCTGAAGCGTTCCTCTCCGATGGTCTCTCTGAATTTTGCCTCACCAAGAGCTGGAGTTCATCAATACAAGGACAATTGATATATTTGTTTCAAGCTTCATTGAGTTTCCTCTTCAATCAAGCCCAGAAATCCCACCACTGATAGTCACTGCTTGATTGATCGAAGAGGCCATCAGAGTCTAAACTCCCCCAATCTTCTTGTGATGTCAATGATCCATCAGCGGGTTCCACCATACTAATTAGGTTCGGTTCTTCTTCGAGTTCAAAATACTCTGCTTTTATGCTGCTATCTTCATCTGAGAGGACTCCTAATCCATGTTCTGGTCTTTCAATTGACAATCTAGGATTCGTTTCTGATTCTCCCATAGTTGTGTCTGCATTCTCTGATCTACCTTCGATACTGTTTACAGCTGGTCCTTGGTCACAACACTCTCCTTCCTCTCCTGGCTTCTTCATCAAACCATTAATCTTCTGTAACTGTCAAATTTTGGAAAATTCTTGGTTAGTATGTACACGAATGTTTCTGTTTTTCCCCCAACCAGGTGAACAGAAAAAATTTATGAGCAAGTACCTGTAATACCAAAGCTTGCTTCTCTTTCTTCAGAGTCTCAAACCTGGAAGCCAAGCTATTGTAATTGGCTCGTAGGATGCTGAAATCTCTTTCAAGCTGCTTAGACTTCCATCTAGCTCTCTTATTCTGAAACCATATTGCAACCTGTCGTGGTTGCAATCCAAGCTCTTTTGCCAGCTGCATCTTCTTTCGAGGCTCAAGCCTTGTTTCTGATTCAAACATGGACTCCAACGATTTAATCTGCTCATCACTAAACCTCCTTTTGTTCTTGTTCTTCTTCTTTCTGGAGGTCGTGACACCGTTCATGCAGCTAAAAGGCTCTGTTGCCGAAGGTGAATACTCTCCTCCATCAAACATCTTGTTGTTGGGATCTTCAACTGTCTTCAGGAAATTCTGTTTCTTTAATTCAAATATCAAATATGGTTTGTCAAAGGAGATTATTTTGGAACTGTTAAGAGTATTTGTGAGCTAGAGGTGAATGTTATTTATTAGCTAAGTTTTTGAGTGTGCAAATCTTGGTTCCTGGGCTGACTGCAATTGCTTGGTTGCTGCCTTCATCTTCAGTTTGGAGGGCTTTATATCCAGCGTGATAACCTACAGTGCTTTTCTTATGGCACCTTGGGGACATTATATGTGCTTCAAATTTTATTTTTATTTTTTCATTTCTTGGAGTAATTTCATGGATGGGCCTGTAGCTTAGCTGGCCTATTCAAGCCGGCTTGTTTATTCTCATCAACGACTTCGTAATTTCTTGTATATATTTATAAATATCTAAACTGACGCAAACTTTCTCCCATAAGTTACAGGTCCCAGTAAGGGTGTTAGTGTGTTAGTAATTGTTTTTTATAATATTTTTTATTTTAAAATATATTAAAATATTTTTTTATATATTTTAAAAATTATGTTTGATATTAGTACATTAAAATTACTTGAATATATATTTTAAAAATTATGCTTGATATTAGTACATTAAAATTACTTGAAAATAAAAAATTAAGTTAAAGTAAAAAAAATATAAAAAATTAAATTTTTTTTAAAATATTTTTTAAACGTAAACACTGTGATGGAGAATCTTGCATAATTCAAGCTTTCAATGCATTTCTAGATGAAGTCTTTATCAGTTTCCACTACCTAAACTAATTAATTCAGATTTTCTCTCGTACACACTGTGAAACCTTTTTTTCAGGGAACCAAAAAGTCCATACGACAAGCTATGTCGATCCTAAATCACTTTGGATTTATTTATTTGTTCTCTTCTCTGGATTGCCTTTGTCTTTGAAGAAGAAGAACTGGAACCTCGCTGGTTAAGATGTTAATAGATTGATTTTGGCATCTAACTGAACTGAATTGTCGAGGTCTGTTACTGCTCTCACTCGAAATGTTCATGTGCTGCAGCAGGCATAACCTTGATGTTGATTTGTAGAGATTAAATTGACCCGCTTTGCATTTTTTTGCATTTAGATCGAACCTTAATGTTAATCAAAGAGAAGAAAAATAAAAAATTAATTTGAATTGTGCAGAAAAATAAAAAATAAAAAATATTTTTAAACACAAAAACAAAAACAAACATGTATTTCCTTCGTTCTATTTTGTTTTTAACATGATGATGTCGGCAACAGGCGGGAATGACATGGTGCCACTTAGCTATAATTTTAAGAAAGCCTCCATCAAATGTCTTCAGAGTTAGGATTACAGGTTCGCTCTCCAGATTTGCTAGAGAGATTATCGCTCCGTGACCATCTTTGTTGATGATACTCTACATAGTATTCAGACATGTCATCTGCCATCTTCCATATGCAGTTGATCAGTCGTTGTCTTCCCACGCTGGCATAGCTTTTATGTGTCATCTGCGAAGCAGGGTGTGCTGGATACGCTCAATCCCACCAGGACTAGAAAATAAACCGAATGCTTTGTCACTAATGGAGCTGTTGACAGTGTCCTTTCCAACACTTCTTGCATTCGCAGGATGTTTCAGGAACGTATGATTACTTTGGCTCTCTCTTCTTTCTTTTCAAGTATATTTGATAGGGAGATGTAATATACATTACATCTTTTATTCTCCTTTCCCATAAGAATGAATTTATTTCGCTGAACTTACCACTTTGACATAAAACATACCTCCAATTAATCTGATTATACATTTTATTGAACTATCTTTCATCCTGCTTATTTTTAAAAGTGTTTTTAAAAAAATTAAATGAACTATCTTTCGTTCTATTAATTTTTATATTTTAAAAATATTTTTAAAAAAATTAAAAAATTTTATTTTTTATTTATTTAAAATTAATATTTTTATTATTTTTTAATTATTCTGATGTTCTAATATTAAAAATAATTTTTTAAAAAATAAAAAAATATTATTTTAATATATTTTAAAATAAAAAACAATTATTACCACACTTATAAATCATAAATTTGTTGCTAATCATATTTGGTGGTAAGAGATCAGAAAAGGTCGACACTTACAAATCTGTTGCAGTTATATTTGGTGGTAAGAGATCAGAAAAGGTGCTAAACAACCCATCTCCTTTGCTTTGTAAGAAGAAATTCAAATACTTGTTAAAGTTATGTACAATCATAAAAATAAATGGGGTTTTAGGTTTCTCTTTAATATTACTATCCAGTTGTATTTTTTAAAAGAATTAATTTTAAATTAAATTTTTAAATCTTTTTAATGTGTGTTGTTGTGAAAAATAAATTTTAAAAAATAAAAAAATATTTGTAATATATTTAAAAAAAATGTAATTCACTAAAATAGTTAGAGGCGTGGGACCGCTGCTGTTGGCATTTGATGCGAATAAGTCGTCGACTTGAGCCGTATTTAGGAAGGGTTAGGTGAGCGAGCGAGGGAGGGAGTCCCAGTCTCAGCTTAACGTGCCTGACTTTGTTAGCCCACCAAACATCAATTGAATATCTTAAGTTTTATCTGTCCAAAATAACATTAATTTTTCTTAAAAATGGAATAGTATTTCCAACCCCTCCAATAGGATTAGTTGCCGAGGAACAAGTATCTTAACACGTCACCCAATGATATTATGCCAGCTGCAAAGGGTCAAAACGGAGCGTCCATTTTTTTGTCGTCATTTTCTTTTGGAGTTTGGGTGGGGGCTTCGGGTCAGTAGGTACGTGTCGAGACCTCTATGGTTCAAGGTAGAAACTGGAAAGACTGTTTTAAATACA